GACTAGGTGAGTTCATGTGTACATGGGGCCTGCTGCTGCTAAACTCTGATAAAAGCCTATGTGTGCATGGACACATAGGCTTTTATTGAGCTGAGTTCAGGGGCTTTGGAAAAAATTGCCAGAAGCTCCTAAACTCACATTTAGCAGCAGCAGTGTACATGAGGCCTGTTTACAAACTTGCTCTTCCCAGTTTTTGTTATTATGAGAAATATAGTAATTTACAAAATAGTCATTATAGGGAGCTCTCATTGGCATAGGTCAATTCTTCTGTTTCTCTTTTAACATCTACCATAAATGCCTGGGACCAGGCAGAGAATGCAGTCATGTGAAAAGTCTAACATTAAAGCAGTTTCCCAGCTCAGAGATGATTTTACACTGTGCGCAGAAAACGACAGAGTTCCTCTGAAATTGTGGTGTTTCGTGTTACTACACACTGTACCTTCCACCTTAGTAGCATTCAGAGAGATGCGCTGAACCTGCGCCCACTCCACCAGTCTAGCGTACCTTTGTTACCTCACTCCCAGTAACAGAATGGGGTCCTGCTGAGCACAAAGCACGGACGTCATGAGTGCTCAATGTTAAATTGGAACTTTAGGCCAAATATAAAAATGGACGAACAGGCAAGAATTTGAATGTATAAGAGACATGCTTTGTTTCTTCTGCATTAAAGTTGCTTACTTGCCTGTCCTCCCTTATACAGTGAGCAGAACACGCACCGCTGACTGTACAAACTCAGCAATGCTGAATCTGATTAAACTCCCACACATGTTAGGGAGTAATGTCATCCACTCCAGGCCATTGAAAGTGGCCAGTGATCAAGACCCAGAAGCCAGCCACCTGAAGATGTCAGCAGACGGACGGAGAGCTTGGGGACACCACATTGCTGGAGTTGAGGTGAGTATAGTTCTGCTTTAACTCCTCCGTTTCATGTACCTTGTGACAGGCTATAGATCTCTGTAATGCTGGTCTGATCCCAGTTGCTATGCGAGATGCACCGCTTGGGAGAGCCAAATAGTAACCCTCTTGCGACCAGAGGACCCACTACCTTACCAGATACCATGCCTATGACTAGTTTCTTTGTGTCTTGAAATCGTGCTTGGTTACTCCTAGCAAAGGCTTATATTTCCTTGACTTGCTGAGTTAAACTCCTTATTGCTTTTGTGTAACCTCATGTAATGTGAATTCATATCCCGTAAGTGCTTTACTGACCCTGGGTCTTTTGGATACTGCAGAACCAACATGTACCCCTTTTGAATAACTTCAGACCAGGCTCAAAACAGTTAACGTAACTTTTACTGATGAAACTTGGCAGTACAGTTCAGTATAAACAATTTCATTTCCCTAACACTAAATTCATTTGTTTGGCTGTCCAGGCATACCTCTGTAAGGTGATAGTCCATGCAGGTAAACTGTGTTTACTATGCTTCAGTTTGTGAAGGAAAGGGAAATTCTGTACAGAGCTATTCCTGTCAATTAATTCTGTGCTGCTGAGGCTGCAGAGAAGGAGCTTGAGGTCTGGTTCCTAAATCTCCTTTCTCTGTCTCAAAGGTGAAACTTCAGAGGTCTGTTTAGACCCCTGATATAAATAAATAAATACATACATAAAATGGTAAAAAATAAGTAAAAAAAAGAACAAAAATAAAAACTACTGACACTAGTGGCAGAATGACCAAGGTCCCAAAGGTTGCACTTGTGACCGGGCCCTGGCGTTCTGCCACTGTGGGGGGCCAAGATGGCAGGAAGGGGGGCCTACTGCAGAACATGTAAAAGGGTCCTGCTGCAGGACCGTAATAACGGGTTCCGCAATGGGAGTAATGGGGCCCTGGGATTAGTGGGAAGAGTTCTATGGTTTCTGGCTCCAATGCCCTGAACGTTCTAGTTACGCCTCTGCTAGAGAGTTTACAGTCTGAAACATAATTACCAGTCTAAGAACCACTTTAAACCTGGATTATAACCTCTAACCCTAACCTCAACCCTTGACTTGTAATTGTAAGCCCTAACTCCTAACCAAAATCCATAACCTTGAAAGGCATTGTTCACCTTTACAAAAAAAAAACTGTATGTTGGTAAGGGACATCAGTAGTTACAAACTTTGCAGTTTTGATCACAGTTGAATAATGGCCTTGCCATTTACGTACCTCAGAAAGCTTGACTGAAAAACTCCCAGTAAGCTCTCAAGTGCTGGGCTCAGAGCTACTGCATCAGGGGAAAGAAAGCACATGCGAGTGGATTTGAATCAGAGAAAGTGTTTGTTCCTCCTGTGATGGTGACGGTGAGCAGTAACAGCTGGGTGTGTAATCAAAATCCTTAACAATTACCCTTAACCCCCCAATGCCAGCTCACTAGCTATACTTTGCCATGACCACAGCACCTCTAAAAATCTAGTGCTATTATTACTAACATTAGAAATTATGTTCCAATGCAAAATAAAAAACAATAATCTTAGTCAAATTGGATAAAACTTATAACATCCCCATTGCCAACCAACACCATACATTGAGCCAACCACATTACAGGTGCTGTCTTAGTTATACTTTATTGACTTTGCAGGTGTTTGAAACAGTGATCCTAGTTTAAATGAAAAAGGAGAATATACCACTGGAACCTTGCACAGGTATCTATCAGTACAGTAAAATTAGTTTTTGGCTCAGAGGATCCTGCTGTACATGAATGAGCAAACAAGGGGTTACAGGCAAGGCTAGTGTATGAGCAGGAATTATAGGCAGTATTAGTGTGTGGGTTGGAATTACAGTAAACAGTTACAATGAAAACAATGACAATCTCCTGACCATGACCATCCCCTTGGTGATGAGAATAATAATAATAATAATAATATTGCTGAAAACATTTTCTAATACGTTGGGCCTGCAGTAAAACAATTAATCTAGGCAACAGCAATGAGGCTGATTTACTAAAGAAGTTGAGACTCTTCACACAATAAATAAATTGTGTTTATTATGTGAATAAAATCACCACACAATAAACACAATAAATTGTGCTAATATTAAAGTGGTTGTAAAGACTCAAGGTTTTTTACCTTCCTGCATTCTATGCATGGCAGTAAATAAACCTTCTATGTGCAGCAGCCCCCTAATACTTACCTGAGCCCCATCACGATCCAGCGATGTGCACAAGAGCTTTGGCCCTTTGGGTCTCTCCCTCCTCAATGGCTGTGACAGCAACGGGAGCCACTGGCTCCCACTGCTGTCAATCACAGCCAGTGAGCCAATCGGGAGAGAGCGTGGGTGGGGCAGAGTCATGGCTCTGTGTGTGAATGGGCACACAGAGTAGCGGATCATGAGCAAGCCTGCTTGGGTACCGCCATAGCAAACTGTTTGCTCTGGTGGGCTCTCGGCAGTAAGGAGGGACCAGGAGTGCCGGCTGGGGACCGAAGAAGAGGAGGATTGGGGTTGCTCTGTGCAAAACAATTACATAGAGCAGGTAAGTATAACATAAATAAAAAATTTCCGGGTGGAGCTCGGTGATGCACTTCCGGTGACGCACTTCCGGTTTTCGGCAAACACGATTTCCTATTACACCCATAGGATATGGGGGAACTGCTTGTACACTTCTAAGAGCATGTGAGTTTTCCATCTGTCTTTTCTTTATAATAAAACTACATATTGCACTATGGAGATCTCTCTTTGTGCTTAAATCTTCCATGGTCCATGGACATATGGCTGAGGCATCGTATATATTGAGATTTTGAATCGTGGGGCAAGTTATATCCTGGTGTCGTTTTTGGAACATCATTTAAATAAATGATTTGTGACCTCAAGGGGTCAAATGTTGGAGGTGAGGAGGCACTCTGGATATTTAGGATTGATTCACTGGAGTGACACTTTGGTCTGAGCACTATTTGAATGAAGAAGCACTTCTATATATATTTTTTTCACAGAAGAGTGATAGCATGTTTTTTGCACATGATTATACTATATGTATATTGATTGTTATTTAAACACTTGGCACTTTTATGATTATTCACTGTTATTTTTATAATTTTTTTTATATTTATTAAGACACTATTTATGTACCTAAGCACCTGGTCACTTTCTATTTTGTTGTGTGTGCACATGTATAACCAGTTTTAGCCACTTGGGGGCAGACTGGTTTTATATGAATTTTTATATAATTTTAACACATATATTATTTATGTACTAGTCACTTTTACATATGTGTATAAAAATTTGATTTTTTATAGCACTATTATAGCAGAGCGCTTCATCCAATATTTTGATAGGTAAGTATAACATGTTTGTTATTTTTTTTTTAATTGCCTTTAATATCACTTTAACTTCAAATTTCCAATCATGTGTAGATGAAATAAGAAAACAGGAAATGGCTTTTCATGTAATCGGATCATTGGCGTAAATATTCACATTATTTATTGTTAATGTATTAGAGTATAAAGGCAAGTCTGGCTGCTTCCCCCCATTTTTCTGGAGCTTTCCAGAATATAGTGGGTGTAACGGAAGAGTAGGCAGGACAGAGCACACGGAGAAGGTGGGGGTGCTTTAACCCAAAATTTATTAAAGCAACAAAATGACAGACACTCAATGGGGAAATGGCAGGGAGGGTGATGTGTGTGCAAACCAGGGACGATTGCAGGCACGGGTGGTCTTCGGCGACAGGCAGGCAATCTCCCCCCTAGGCTTGGGGCCTCAGCCGAGCTCCCTCCGTGACTGGACAGCGGATTGGAGACTCGGGCAACAGGCGGGTAACCTACCCCTGAGCAGGGGTCTCGGGCAACAGGCAGAAATCTACCCCTGGGCAGGGGCCTCGGGCAACAGGCGGCAATCTACCCCTGGGCAGGGGTCTCGAGCAACAGGCGACAATCTACCTCTGGGCAGGGGTCTCGGGCAACAGGCAGCAACCTACCACTGGGCAGGAACCTCGGGCAACAGGCGGCAATCTACCCCTGGGCAGGGACCTCGGGCAACAGGCGGCAACCTACCACTGGGCAGGGACCTCGGGCAACAGGCGGCAATCTACCCCTGGGCAGGGGTCTTGGGCAACAGGTGGCAACCTACCACGGAGCAGGGGTCTCGGGCAACAGGCGACAACCTACCACTGGGCAGGAACCTCGGGCAACAGGCGGCAATCTACCCCTGGGCAGGGGTCTTGGGCAACAGGTGGCAACCTACCACAGAGCAGGGGTCTCGGGCAACAGGCGACAACCTACCACTGGGCAGGGACCTCGGGCAACAGGCGGCAATCTACCAGTGGGCAGGGACCTCGGGCAACAGGCGGCAATCTACCACTGGGCAGGGACCTCGGGCAACAGGCGGCAACCTACCTCTGGGCAGGGACCTTGGGCAACAGGGGGCAACCTACCACTGGGCAGGGGTCTCGGGCAACAGGCGGCAACCTACCCCTGGGCGGGGGTCTCGGGGACTCAACGGGACTCTAGCTGTGGAGTCTGGCCACAGCACAGCTCCCACCCAGCTTTCTAGGGTCATTGGGTTCACAGGGACTCAACGGGTAACGATGGCTCAAGCACTCAGGGGCACCACAGGCAGCTATACTCCGGGCATGCCATCAGGACACGGGTGGTCAGTGCACACACAGCGGGGCAGTTCGGAACACGGCTGGTCGGTGCACACAGCGGGTACAGTTCAGGACACGAGTGGTCTTTGCACACACCGGGGACAGTTCAGAACACGGGTGGTCGGTGCGCACAGCAGGCACAGTTCAGGACACAGGTGGTCAGTGCGCACAACAGAGACAGTTCAGGACATGGGTGGTCGGTGCACACAGTGGGGACAGTTCAGAACACGGGTGGTCAGTGTGCACAACAGGGACAGTTCAGGACACGGGTGGTCGGTGCACACAGCAGGGACAGTTCAGAACACGGGTGGTCGGTGCACACAGCGGGGACAGTTCAGGACGCAGGTGGTCAGTGCACACAACAGGGACAGTTCAGGACATGGGTGGTCGGTGCATACAGCGGGGACAGTTCAGAACACAGGTGGTCGGTGCACACAGTGGGACAGTTCAGGACACAGGTGGTCAGTGCGCACAACAGGGACAGTTCAGGACACAGGTGGTCAGTGCACACAACAGGGACAGTTCAGGACACGGGTGGTCAGTGCACACAACAGGGACAGTTCAGGACACGGGTGGTCGGTGCACACAGCGGGAACAGTTCAGAACATGGGTGGTCGGGGCACACAGCGGGGACAGTTCAGGACACTCACGGTAAGCAGCTTGCAGACTCTCAGCGGCAGGCGGCTCCAGACAGGGACAACCAGCGGTCAGCGTTCCAGGGACAACCAGCGATCAGCAGACAGCAGCAGCTCCCAGGGCACTCAGCAGCAGACAGCTTCCAGGGACACGCAGCCACGGACAGTGTGCAGGGTCCCTCAGCAGCAGCTCCCAGGGCACTCAGCAGCAGACAGCCTCCAGGGACACGCAGCCACGGATAGTGTGCAGGGTCCCTCAGCAGCAGCTCCCAGGGCACTCAGCAGCAGACAGCTTCCAGGGACACGCAGCCACGGACAGTGTGCAGGGTCCCTCAGCAGCAGCTCCCAGGGCACCTAGCAGCAGACAGGATGCAAGGGTGCCCCGTAGACAGGCTTACAGACTTGCAAGGTCTTAGCTGTGGGGTCTGACCTTTGAGAAGAAGGCTCATGCAGAGCTGTGGAGACTCCCAACCCTGGTGTATTGCAGAGGGCTACAGTCCTGACCTTTTGGGGGTCTGCAGAGTGCGCAGGGGGGATGACTGGGGAGGCTTGGTCCCCCTCACCCGAGCCTCCCAGCATCTTTCTGGGAGCAAGATGATTCCAGCACAGGGGTGGGCAAACTTTTTGACTTGAGGGCCGCAATAGGTTCATATATTGGACCCGGGGGCCGGACCAAGAGTAGATGAATGATGTGTATGTGTCATCCATAGTAAGTATAGTAATATTCCCCCATAGTAAGCATAGTAATTAATCCCCCATATAGTAATTCATCCCCCATAGTAATTCATCCCCCATATAGTAATTCATCTCCCATAGTAATTCATCCCCCATATAGTAATTCATCCCCCATAGTAATTCGTCCCCCATATAGTAATTCATCCCCCATAGTAATTCGTCCCCCATATAGTAATTCATCCCCCATAGTAATTCATCCCCATAGTAATTCATCCCCCATATAGTAATTCATCCCCCATAGTAATTCATCCCCCATAGTAGTTCATCCCCCATATAGTAATTCATCCCCCATAGTAATTCATCCCCCATAGTAATTCATCCTCCATAGTAATTCATCCCCCATATAGTAATTCATCCCCCATAGTAATTCATCCCCCATATAGTAATTCATCCCCCCCTATAGTAATTCTTCCCCCATATTAATTCATCCCCCATATTAAGTCCTCAAGTCCCCCCTGTGTCAATTCACTTATCTCTGCTCCGCGCGTTCCTCTCGCCGTGTTCCCGCGCCGTTCCGGTGTAGCATGAAAATCTGTCTCCTATGAGGATCTGTCCCCCTCGACGTATCTGTGCATGTGCCAGTTTCAAGCATTAGCAGCTGATCGGCGATCTCCGGCACATGCGCAGATACGTCGAGGGGGACAGATCCTCAGAGGAGACAGATTTTCATGCTACACCGGTCTTCAGGGCGGACTGTGAGAGGAGCCTAGCGGGAGCCTAGCTCCGCGGGCCGGATTAAAAGGTCCGCCGGGCCGTATACGGCCCGCGGGCCGTAGTTTGCCCATTGCTGTTCCAGCAGCATGGACAGGAACAGAGAGAGGAGGGCTGCTTCCTGTGCGAGACTTTTGAAAACCAAGTGGGACTCGGCTAGGTTGCCTCGGCAACGGCCGGCCCAGCATTGTCCATGGAAGCTCCCCAGACATCGGAATGTGCAAGGGGGAAGGGAGGGGTGGAGGAATATGGCGGGGGATGGGAGAGGCACTGGCAGTCTGTGACAGTGGGTTAGAAAGTTAGATGAGCAGTTTGAATATTTATGTAACTCCAGCCAATCCCTGCAGAGGCGTTGCTCAGAAGGTGGCTGGGGAGTGCATAAATAGTATGGAGCCTCTGAGAGCGGTGTTCTTGTCCAGGAGAAGTTCCCAGCCAGGGAGGGCTCCTGCCTTCCTGAGTGTATTACTGAAGGTCCAGTCTGCTCATCATGATCCCAGCCTGTGCTCAGCCACAAACCCTTTCAGGGATTCAAGAGGAGAGCCACTGAAGACTTGCCTTGGGAGTTCACAGGGAGAGCCTGTCTGCTGGAATTATGAGTTGCATTATGTGCTGGAAGGACACAGTGAGTACTGACCCAAAAGGGGAAAGAATTTTCAGTGACTGTTTGCATTTATCACCCCTGCTGCACAAAATGCAAGGATTGCCTGGGTGCCCCAGTGCTGTTCACTTAATGTCCTAATGCTTATGGGACTAGGAGAGCTACTACAAGGAAGAGTGTCTTCATTGTTCCAGTTAGTATTATGGAGTATCCCACAGCTCCCTGAACCCATCCAAGTTAATGCTGCAATAAAACTTCAAAAAGGTAACCCTCATGGACTGTGTTTACTGAGTTGAATTGTGAACATGCTGTTTTCCTGGATGCTGCATTAACAGGAATAAAACATGGGGCATTAAATCAGGGGCCTAGCCAAGGGTAGCACATATGAAGATCTTAAGACCTCCCCTTTAAAAAAAACTACGTGGTCATATAATTTTTATAACGTGATTTGGTTTTGATTTTGCTTTTACCATAATATATTTACATTCATGTCATCTGCACAATTGCACAACTGTTCAGGCTTTCTAAGCTAAGGCTCCTGTCTGTCTGAGCATTGTGATCTCCAATGCCAAACAAGAAGTGAAAAATGTCAATAAAATATTTTTTGAAAATGATTTCCTAATGTGTGCTTTCACAATGCAACAGTCACAGGTTTTGTAGCCTTCTGTGGTCTAATTTCAGACAAAATAGGTAGCAAAACATAATGCCTCAGGAGAAGAAGTCTTGGTCATAAGAGCTTAACCGCTTCAATACTGACACTTTCACCCCCTTCCTGCCCAGGCCAATTTTCAGCTTTCAGTGCTGTCACACTTTGAATGACAATTGCGCGGTCATGCAACACTGTACCCATATGAAATTTTTATCATTTTTTTTCACACAAATAAAGCTTTCTTTTGGTGGTATTTAATCACCATTGTTTTTTTTAAAATTGTTTTGCTAAATGAATGAAAATAGACCAAAAATGTTATTTAACCTCCCTGGAGGTATTCCCGAGTGTAGCTCGGGGTAACGTTTCAGCACCACAAGCGGTAACCCCGAGCTACACTCGGGAATACCTTGCAGCGCTGCTCCGGGATCTGTTCTTCACTTACCTTGTCCTGCGCTCCCGCGATGTCCCTCCTGCAGTGTCCCTGGCAATGTCATCCGGCCGATGCCGGCATCTGTCTTCTGGGTTCCGTTCCCTGTGACGTCGGGACGTACAGGGGACGGAAGGGCGGGAAATTTAAAAATGTCAAAAAGTGACATTCACTAAATACACTAAAATCACATAGTAAAACATTACTGTATCAAACCATTTCACATACATTTTGTCCCGAGTGCTTTGTCCTGTGGCCTGCCTGCATTTGTACCATTATTTCTGCTTGGAAACTGAGAAATGTCCATGGCGTCCAAAAAGCGTCCCTTTAGGTGAAAAGTAGTTTTAGAGCAAATAGAGAACAGTGACAGTAAATTAGAACTACTTGCAGAATTGAGTGATAATGATTCGTGGGGAAATTAGTCATCAGACACTGAAAACGATTTTGTGACTTTGCTCAGTGATGTGCGAACTTGGCGCTATATTTCAAATTTTAGTGTTTTTGGTTTGATTATATTATTGAATTGCATTTATTATTATATTATTATTTTTTATGATTATTTATTAAATTATAATTTATGATTTCGTGTTTCAAATTTTAACATACTCTGGATATTTACTAGACTCTTGTTCGGACAGTTTTCAGTGAGTTATTCCTAAAAATTACAGGCCTACAATAAAAAAACTACATATTTCCATGCAAAAAAATGTACCGCTTTGAGCACAGAAATACTGACATAATCAGACAGCTAGGGAGGCTACAAATCCAGCTTTTTCTTCATTTCTGTTATATAATTTTGCAAATAAATAAGCATTCTTCATATATTTAGGCTAATATGTATTCTGCTACATTTCTTTGGTGAAAATAGCCAAAATCAGTGTCCACAAACTATGGTATATACAGTACATCTGAAAATTGATCAGTACTGATGGCTTATCTCATTTCTTGAGGCCTGAAAATGCCAGGACAGTACAAACATCCCCCAAATTACCCCTTTTTGGAAAGTAGACAGTATAAGGTATGTAGTAAGAGGCATAGAGGGTTTTTTGAAGCTGTCATTTTTTTGTCACAATTTTATGGAAAATTAAGAAATTAAAAAAAAAAAATTCACAATTTAAAAAAAAATTGACATACTGTCACCAATGCAGTACAGAATCATCATATAACTTCTGTGCTGGTGATCAGGGACACTGACTGGTGGTATCATGTTTAAATATAATAAATAAATATATATTTTTTTAATTGAAAATTTTTTTAAAATTTTTTTTATTAATTTTTTTATCACAATGGACCAGAGCTATACAGTGTTACCTTGATAAGAGCTGCACTTTATGAATTGCCCCATAGTCTTCTGGGACCTGTCACGTTTCCCAGAAGACTACAGGGAGGGAGGGAGGACAACTTCCGCTTCCGATCGCCTATACGATCGCAGCGGAAATGGGAGCGGGTGCCTGTCAAATTCGGGTACCCGCTCCCCAAACGTCTGCAGTTTCTGGTCATCTCCTGTACTATGTCAGCAGTCTCTGGTCATCTCCTGTACTATGTCTGCAGTCTCTGGTCATCTCCTGTACTATGTCTGCAGTCTCTGGTCATCTCCTGTAATACATCCGCAGACTCTGGTCATCTCCTGTACTATGTCCGCAGTCCCTGGTCATCTCCTGTACTATGTTCTGCAGTCTCTGGTCATCTCCTGTACTATGTCTGCAGTCTCTGGTAATCTCCTGTACTATGTCTGCAGTCTCTGGTCATCTCCTGTACTATGTTTGCAGTCTCT